CCTGCTCACACCTTCCTTTTCTTCTCAAAGCCGCACTCCTTCTGTCTTCTTGCAGAGCAGAGCCAGGAGGAGAAGGGGCCCTCTCGGCGGAGGGGTGGGGGGGAGGGATGTCAGAGCCCAGGAAGGGGGCAGCGTGTGCCGCCTGGGTCCCTGCTCCGTGTCCTGTGCAGGTGCTATGCATAAATCGGACCGAGGGGACCCCAAGTCCAAGCCTCCATTGAGCTGGGGACTGGTGCATCTTGGTGCTGCTTAGACTTGCTGTCAGCCTTTTTATAGCCTCCTCCCCCCAGCCATTCTCACTCAGACAATTAGAGAACCAGGATATCAAGTTAAAATACAAAACCATGAGCCTTCACTGGATGGGAAAGGCCCCACGTGGACTTGCCAGGGTGTTGGAAACGTCAGAACTGATTGAGTGGTAGCTTTTCATTGTGTGAGTTACACCCAAGGAAGCGAGCGAGCCCTGGTACCCTTCACGTGCACAGTCAGCCACTGGGAAGGTATAAGCAAGGGGAAATCACATCCGCAGTGGCCACAGAAAAGATGAAATCACTAGGAAGAAACTTCACAAGAAATGTGCAAAACCGGAGGAGGAACGTGTTGAAATTCTTCTGAAAGGCACTGGGTTTGGACTCGGGTATATAGAGAGACAGCCCTCAGGGTGGCGGTTCTCCTTCAGCTAATTTATAAAATCAGTGAAATCTCAGTAAAAATACTGACATTTCCCTCCAGAGCTAGTCAGACTCTTAAAGGTCATTTGCTCATAGAGCTCTTGCAAATAAACATGCCAGAGTGGATCGAGATTCTGGGGGAGAAACCGCGAGAGGGAAGGTGTGTCCTCGGCTCAGGACCTGCTGGGGGCTCTGTGCCTTACAGAGCCTTTGCTGGGCTGGGCAGATGATCTCACTGGATGGAAGGGACACAGACCCAGTGCAGACAGAGTCAGTGTGGGGGAGAGGAAGGTGGAATCTCCCGAGTGCTGGGGGTGGGCTCATAAATCATGCGGAAGCAACTGGACGGCCACTGGGAAGGTGGGACGCGGCGAAAAGTGGGGGGCAGTTCTTCTGCCTTGAAGCCTGGGTCCTTTCTGCTGCCCCCCCCGAAGGAGCATCAGGGCCAGAACTGGAGGGTGGGTGAGCCCCCTGACAGGTCACAGCGCCAGCCCAGCCCAGCCAGGCCCCCTTCTGAGCAGACTGTGCACATGACCGTGGTTGAAGTCTGGAAGTGCCCAGTCCCTGGGCTGCCAGGTTGGCCAGCAGATGCCCCATGTGAGGCAGGCTCTGCTGACCAGTTAGGTGGCCGTGCCCGCCCCTGACCATGAGGGAGACGGCAGGTGGCTGGATCATGTGCCTAGAAGAGTCCCGGGAGGGCAGGTGGCCACCACCATCACCACCACCACCACTAGGGGCTCGCCCCCTGCAACTTTCTTTCCAGAGGCCGTGGCTGGGCCATTCTTAGACATTTGGTGAGGACCCCAGGTGTGAGGAGGGACTCTGGTGTGGAGACTCGCTCTGCACCGCAGAGGGGGCGTGCCGGCACTGGCCTGGTGGTCTGGCGCCAGGCCCTTCGCTCGCCCATGCACGGCTTCGGCCTCCTGGGCTTCCTGGCCATCTCTAGCTGATTCTGCAGGCCCTTGGGCAGGTGCGGCCCTGGGCCTGGGGTTGGAGCCCACAGCCTGAACGTGACCGAGGCCAGGAGGCCGGCGGGGCTTCCTTCACTGCCCCTTGGCGGCTCTCACCTTCTATTGAAAATAAGTGCCGGGTAACGCCACCTCCTGTGGGCTGGGTGACTGACTGGGAGGGGACAGCTCGCACCCCTTCCCACTTACAAACCTGACCCGAGACCCCTCCTCGGGGAACCACTGTCCTGAGCTCCCCGGTGTCTCTCTTCTGCTTTGGGCAGAGGCTGGCTTAAGAAAACAAAGGGGAAGGAAGTGCGATTGAGTTTGTAAGTTCTGGGCTGGTTGATTCACAATGCAGTGAGGGTTTCAGCGTTTTTAAGAGCACTTTTCCTCTTGTTTAATAATAACTCTAGGAAACAGTCGCTCTGTGGGGCACCCTGGGGCTGCAGGATGTTGAGCCCATCTCTGGACTCTTCCCCCGAAGCATGATACCAACGTCTGCCTCCAGTCGCGAGAACCAGAAACATCTCCAGGCATCGCCCAGTCCCCAGGGCTGAGACTCACAGCCTTAGAATAATCCTAGTGCACTTAATGCAGAGCCTTACGGCCTCAGTGTTAGCTGTTGCTGAAATGACCCTTCACTCTCTGACACGCAGTTGCTGTTCACTTGCTGAGTCATGTCCAACTCTTTGCGACCCCATAGACTGCAGCATGCCAGGCCTCCCTGTCCTTCACTGTCTGCCAGAGAGCTTGCTCAAATTCATGCCCATTGAGTCGGTGATGCCATCTAACCATGTCATCCTCTGTCATCTCCTTCTCCTGCCCTCAGGATCAAAATCTTTTCCAGTGAGGGTTGGTTCTTCGCATCAGGTGGCCAAAGTGTTGGAGGGTCAGGATCATTCCTTCCAGTGAATAGTCAGGATTGGTTTCCTTTAGGATTGACTGGTAAGGGACTCTCAAGAGTCTTCTCCAGCACCGCAGTTCAAAAGCATCAATTCTTCAGTGCTTAGCCTTCTTTATGGTCCAATTTGTAACATCCGTACATGACTACTGGGAAAACCATAGCTGACTAGATGGACCTTTGTCTGCAAAGTGATGTCTCTGCTTTTTAACGCACTGTCTAGGCTTCTCATAACTTTTTTCCAAGGTGCAAGTGTCTTTTAATTTCGTGGCTGCAGCACTGTCCACAGTGATTTTGGAGCCCAAGAAGATAAAATGCTCCACTGCTTCCACTTTTTCCCCATTCATTTGTCGTGAAGTGACAGGTCCAGGTGCCATGATTTTCATTTTTTGAATGCTGAGTTTTAAGCCAGCTTTTTTACTCTCATCTTTCACTCTCATCAACAGGCTCTTTAGTTCCTCTTCGCTTTTTGCCATCAGAATGGTATCATCTGCATATCTGAGGTTGTTGATACTTCCCCTGGCAATCTTAATTCCAGTTTGTGCGTTAACCAGCCCGGCATTTCTCATGATAGTGGCTCAGATGGTAAACAATCTGCCTGCCATGTAGGAGACCTGGGTTTGATCCTTGGGTTGGGAAGATTCCCTGGAGAAGGGAATGGCTGCCCACTCCAGTATTCTTGCCTGGAGAATTCCATAGACAGAGGAGCCTGGCAGGCTGTAGTCCATGGGGTAACACAGAGTCAGACACAACTGAACGACTTTCACTTTCAACTCACAGAGTGTGCTTTATTTCACCCTGACTTTCAGGATATATACACAGTGGTACCAGGGTGAGGGGACAGAACTGATGGGTTTGAAGATTATAATTAAGTCCTTAGCGTCTCAGAGAAAACTGGTTACTGTCTTTCTTGCTAAGAGTTTGGCTGATCAGGGATGGAATGAGAGAGTGCTGCTAAGGGTTCAGGCTGGGTTCTTTAATACTGTTCTGTTTACATTGTATACATGAGACAGTGTCATGATAACATGTTTTTAAAAAAAGATTGTAGGAAGGTGACAGTTTGGAAACACTGGTCTTAATCGAGATGATTGATTGTATGGTAGAGGACATTTGTAAGTTTGATAGAAGCCGCAGGTGAAGGCTGCAGTTGTGAACTTGTAGTGAAGTTGAAGGCATAAGAAGCAGATACACAGGTTGGATCCCTTGGACCTGTGCTTGCCCGAGAAGTTTTGGTGGAAGGAAAGAGAGCATGAGAAAGCCTCAGTTTGGTGGAAGAGTGAGGCAGGGGCTCTGAACCCCCAGGGTCAGCAGCTCAGCTTTGCCAGCAGCCGGGCCAAGGACCCCCTATCACCTCCAAGGCTCCCTGAGAAGGGGGCTCAGTGAAGACCACCCCTCAACTTCTGGTCATTTCTGGGGTGGAGAGTAGGAACTAGATGTTGGGTTAAGTGAATATTAGGAAGAAATATTTTTATTTAAAACAAATGAAATTTTTTTATAAGATATCCACCCACCGACCTATCTTAATATAGTCACTTGTTGTGTGAGTCAGGTCCCTTCAGCTTGAATGGAGGCCCCTGTCCAGAGAGCAGGGATGTAAGTGCATCCTTGTCTGGCCTTCCATGGGGGAGAGGCGAGGGGGATGCTTCTAGGCAGGTTCTCAGCAGTCGGCACCTGTTCCTGGTGTGTGCGTCCAGGTGGAGACTGGGTCACCGGTACCAGGGTGGGAACGCAGGATCAGGGCCCGGATTTCACGCCCCCTGGAGTGCGCCTCAGTGTGGTGGTCAGCGTCTAGACCTTGGGCCTCAGCGCCCGTGGTCGGTCCCTGGCCTGGCCAAGGAGCAGAAACGGGGAGCTCCTTCCGTGCCCTTTTCTCTCGTCCCGTCTCCCGATGTTGTCCCGGCTGTATCCTCCCCCAGGATCGATTCCGTACTGGAAAACGTTGTTTCTCCGGGGACTGGTTTTGTTTTCTCCGCAGGTGACTCTGTCCTCTGCTCAGAGAACCAAGGGCCCCGGGCGGGCCCAGATGGCAGGTGTGGGTGGGTGGCTCCGGCCCACGTGACCGGCTCTCGCTCCCTTGCAGATCGCCCAGTCACTCGATGGGGCACGCCGGCGGCCTACCTCCGTGTGTCACCTGCCCGCCTCTCAGCAGCAAGGAACGGAGCTTCAGCACCTCTTCAGTAATGATGATGAAACTGGTATTAACTGAATGGCATTTATGGATTTTTAACTCTAATTCACAGTAAGCCAGAAAGCCATATGTTCAATCCAACCAAAAATCGTTCTGTTTTGCTGCATGTCTCACCCGATTGTGAGAAGTTTCAAGATACCTGTTTGTACAAAGAGGAATATAAGTGTTACTTGCCGGAGGAGCACAGCTGAAGCAGAAAGCGAAGACGTCTTAATTTATCCTTAAAGATATATGATAGAATTATTTATTTAGATAGAGTAAAGAGAGAGATATATATATTTTTGGTGGTGATGAAAATGGCTCCGCAGAATGCCGACGCAGAATCTATGCAAGTTCAGGAGCTCCCGGTGCCCCTGCTGGACCTGCAGAAGCCAGGGAGGACGGAGGCGGAGACACGGGACGAGACCGCCAGCGAGGGCTCCATCGACCGCATCCCCACGCGCCTGTGGGTGATGCACGGGGCCGTGATGTTCGGCAGGGAGTTCTGTTACGCCATGGAGACGGCGCTGGTCACGCCAGTCCTGTTACAGATCGGTAAGTGCCTGCATGCGGGCGCACACGGGCTGACCATGTCCCCGGTCTCCCCTCATGGCAGCCTCCTTTGATGGGCTTTCCTCCTGTGTCAGCGGGGCAGGGTGGGCGGGGGTGGTCCTCCAGACATTCACGCGGGGTCAGAGGCCCTGGCAAGGTGGTACTGGGTGTCTGGGCGCATGTGACTTTCTGAAGCTCTAACCTGGCACACGCTTGCCTCCCATGAGGTGCCACTTGCCGAGTCCTGGACCCACCCCCACCCCCAGTGTGGCCACCAACTGCGTCATCCTGGCCGAGCCCGTGAGCCTCCCCCCAAGTGTGGCCACCAACAGTGTCATCCTGGCCGAGCCCATGAGCATCCCCCACCCAGTGCTTTTTCGTAGAGTGAGATGAATCGCAGGTCAGGTACAGGGCAGGCACCTGCTCAGAACAAGGCCTCGCTGTAGAAAACTCTGAAGAATGCTGTTTTCTTTATTTTCATCTTGTTATTGGCTTAAATAGAAGTTTATTGTGGAAGTCAGGTGCCTGAATGATGGGTATTTCCAGAAATACTGAAATTCTTAGAGATACACTCTGAAAACACTGTCATCCCTTCCACATTACCTCAGGGAATGTCTCAGGCCCTAAAAAAACATGGTCAGAATATTTAATTTTTCTCATTGTCTAAGAAAGTCTTAAAATCGCTAAGCTCCCAACTTTGTAAGAGATCCAGGTAAGGAGCCAAACTATTCAGAAGCATGCTTCATTCTAGAATTGCACATGTGCGCTGTAAAATATTTTAAAACTCTTATTTATTTTGGCTATCCCGGGAATGTGTCTGTCTCTGAACACGATGGCGTGATTCTTGTTTAGAGCGCATGCTCAGGCCTGCCTGGTGCAGGTTGTGGGTGAAGCGGCGTCCCCTTCAGGGCTGTGGGCAGGGGCTGGTGCGGGTCCCAGCTCAGCAGTGCCACACTGGCCCGCACTCTGTCGTCAGCCACGTTACCGAAGGGGCAGGCTGGTCACTCTCTGCATTCGCGTCCCTGTGCTTCCTCCTGCTTTCCCTGTGACACCCCAGGTGTCTGTCTGTCATCTTTCACAATGTGAGCCTGGAGGGACGGCCCACACCTGGACGAGTCGAGACCCTCTCCCGGGGAGCTGTGAACCACGTGGGCTGCGCTCTGCCCTCTGTCTGCATGCTGGCCATCCCTGCATTCACCCTGCTCTGCCTCCTCCGTGCCCCCAGGTGCCAGGCCACTGGGGGCAGACAGAGCACCGTGTCTGGCAGTCCCCACGTGGCTTGTTGTGGTGCTGGGAGCCAGCATGTGGCCAGCCCAGCAAACCCTGCCTTGCTGGGAGGAGAGCTGGGGTGAGACGCCGGCCCCTGGAGGGCCTGGGAAGACCTCTCGGGTCGGGGGCAGTGGTGCGGGGAGAGGCTTGGAGACCACCTTTTTGGCCAGACCCCAGGCGGGCCGTGTGCGGCGGCACAGAACCTGACCAGGCATCTATTTCACACCTCTGATGTGCAGGGGTGTGGGTTCCTGGTTGAGGTCATTACGAAAGCAGTGTGGCCAGACTCAGGTGGTCAGAGCCAGGTCCCATATTTAACTTCTATGATCTCTTACGGTTATGGCTCTGATTACTGAGAAGTAGGTTGGTAGCAGGAGTGGAGATTTGGGAGCATTTCCTTGATGACAGGTCACGTGTATGATGGCCCAGCACCCTGGTGCTTACACAGCTCCTTGGCACTTTCACACTTTACAGGTTCTGTATCTCAGTTTCCACACAGCTTACATTTCACTGTGTGGTTCTGCATGTATACATACTACATGAGACTTGCATCCATTTTAGATAATCCTGGGTAATGTATATTCTAATTTTTCTATATAATGCCTAGGTTATGCATTAATTGTAGCTTCTGAAAGTTGCAAGTGTGTCTGTTCCATGTGACCATGCACCAGTGCTGATGAGAAGCAGGACCACTGTCATCATATTTACTGTGACAGAGCAACCCGAAGTTAATGAAGGAGACCCTTGTCACTGACCCTGGACAGTGCACAGGAGGGCAGGACTCTGGCAGAAGCTGTTTCCGTGGGCTAAAGGAGCGGAGCTTAATGAGAGTTGTTCTGAGATGGGCTTAGATAGGCGCCAGACAATAAGGCCTGATCCTTTTCTCGAGGTTGTACTTGAATTTCACTCTTGGGGCAATGCTCAGTTCAGTTCTGTTGTGTCCGACTCTTTGCGACCCCATGGACTGCAGCACACCAGGCTTCCCTGTCCATCACCAACTCCCGGAGCTTGCTCAAGCTTATGTCCCTCAAGTCAGTGATGCCATCCAACCATCTCTTCCTCTGTCATCCCCTTCTCCTCCTGCCTTTAATCTTTCCCAGCATCAGGGTCTTTTCCAGTGAGTCAGCCCTTCGCGTCAGGTGACCAAAGTATTGAGTTTCAGCTTCAACATCAGTCCTTCCAATGAAAACTCAGGACTGATTTCCTTTAGGATGAACTGGTTGGATCTCCTTGCAGTCCAAGGGACTCTCAAGAGTCTTCTCCAACACCACAGTTCAAAAGCATCAATTCTTCAGTGCTCAGCTTTTTTTATAGTCCAACTATCACATCTATACATGACTACTGGAAAAACCATAGACAGACCTAGGGGCAATGTAGTGGTCAGAATTTTCTAATTTGACTCAGGGCTTCTTAAAATGGTCTGTCACACCCAGAAATACAATATCATTATTGGATTTTGTATATTAATAATGATTAAAGCTGAAACAGGGATTTCCCTGGTGATCCAATGGCTAAGACTCCAAGCTCCCAATGCAGGGGGCTGGGGTTCGATCCCTGGTCAGGGAACTAGATCTCACATCCCTTAACTAGGAGTTCAAATGCTGCAACTAAAGATCTGGCATGGCACAATGAAAACTGAAGATCCTACATGCTGCAACTAAGACCCAGCATTGCCAAATCCATCCACCCATATGTGTTTGTGTGTGTATATGTGTGTGTGTGTGTAGGTGTATATGTGTGTATATGTATATGCATGTGCACATGTGTGTGCATATATGTGTCTGTGCACATGTGTGTGCGCGCGTGTGCATATGTGTATGTGTGTGTATATGTACGTGTGTGTGTGTGTGTGTGTGTAGCTGAAGCCATTGTCTCGGTGTGGACAGTGTGACCCACCTGACAGGTGTCTGCAGGCGTAAGCACCACCACAGTGCTTCCGCCGCCCCAGCAGCCTCCTGGTGGCCCCTTGCGTCAGTGCCCCTGCGTGGTGGGGGCCTGCCTCTGCCGTGATGAGGCCCTGTCTGAAGTTTGTATGAGCAGAATCACGCAGCAGGTGGCCTGGTTTCTGCCATGCTTCGGCGGTCCATCCTGCTGCACTAGGTGGTCCACTGGTCGCCCCCCACCTCTCCCCCCATTGATTCACCAGCTCAGGGACGTTTGGATCGCTTCCATCTGGGGGCTGTTCTAAATAAAACTGCTCTGAGCCTCACCTGCGAGTCTTTGTGTGGACTTGTGTTTCATTTCCCATGAATAGAGACCTAGGAATGCGGCATTTACTTTACAAGAAGAGACCATTCCAACCATTCCCCATGTCCTTGAGAACACTTGCATTTCTCTGACGAATAGCGACGTTAAGCGACTATTCTTGTGCCTCTTGTGCCTATTGTGGACTTGTGTTTCATTTCCCGTGAGTAGAGACCTAGGAGTGCAGGTTTACTTTACAAGAAGAGACCATTCCGACCATTCCCCACATCCTTGAGAACACTTGCATTTTTCTGATGAATACCGATGTTAAGTGACTATTCTTGTGCCTATTGGGCAATTGTGTATCTTAGGTGGAGTGCGTGCTCAGATTTTTTTGCTGATACTTCAATCAGGTGGTTTGTCTCATTAATAAGTTGCAAGGGTTCTTTATTAAAAAGCCCTTTATCAGATATGTCTGCCCTTGGGCATCCAGTTCTGTCCAGGGGTGTTCGACTTGCTCATCTCTTGTGTGGCCAGTCCATCACTCGGCTGGGCTCTTGTGGCCAGCCTGTGCGTGTCCTCCCCACCTGGGAGGCTTCGAGGAGCCACTGAAGTGCGGTCTTCCCATTATTGTTTTGCATGATCTCCCCCGTCCCCCCGCCCCTACCCCCCGGGCCCAGGGCAGTTTCAGATGCTCACCTAGTGCCCCAGGCTCAGGGGGGGCTCAGTGAGTATTTGTGGGAGGAAAGAATGAGTGACACAGCTTAGATGCCTGACGTGTCTGTGTGCCTTTGTGAAAGCCCAGGCTCCTGGTTTCCTGCCTTCTGGAGTTGGTCCCTGATGGCCTGATCCCACCCAGGGCCTTGGGGCCTCCAGACCCATTGATGCATGCGACATAGAAGGCCCGTGGGATTCCCCAGGGAGCCACTCGGCGCCCACCCCAGCAGAGCCACATGCATTGCCTCTTATTCACGTCACACATGTTTGCCCTGTGAATGACTGGGCCTGTCTCGGGTGGAGATGCGGGCACAGGTAAATACTGTGGATGCAGCACTGGTCACCCTGCCACCGGCAGGTCTTTTGTCTAGTGACAACGTGAGGAAGCAGAGGCTGGGAGGGCTGGTCCACCTGCCTTGGGGGATCCCACCAGGGGCACGTGGGCTGTGTTTAAAGCTTGAAGCATCTGGCCCGAGTTCAGCTTCAGCATCCCGGCCTTTCTGGTTTGGTCCAATGGCCATCCATGAACAGAGCTCGTTGCTCCGTCTGCTGGGGGCTGTGTTCTGCTGAGATCCCTAGCCCTCTGCCTAGCCCCTCACCTGACATCACAGATCTGCGTTGAGGACCTGGGGAACCACAGCTGGAAGACGGAGCGCCCTCCCCACCTCGGCCACGGCCTGAGCTTACACATGGGCCCAGGAGGTCGACTCTAACCTCAATACTGACCCCATCTGTCAGTCCTCAAGGTACCTTGTCGCCCCACTGCCCCAAGGGCAGGTGCAGGCTGAGGGCCGCCCAGGCTGCAGGAACCTGGGACGAGGTAGTGGTTTCTA